ATAACCGAAAATAAATGACACCAAGGATTATGAAGGCTTTATAGTAGTGTAGCTGACTCATTTGCAAAAGAAGCATTTTTAGCATTTCAAGAACCTTTCTAAAAGCATTATTGTCAAGTTAATTATTATTAACCTGTCGACTAGATTTGCACCTATACTAGAGCGCACATATGATTAAGCAGATAATGATAACCAATGATCATTAAACAACTAACAAACTGTCATATTCATTATAACTATCCAAGTGTTCCATAGACATTTACTACGATGAAGTAACTCAAGTCAAGTGCTCACTATCTAGGAGCGATGGCGATTCGAATCGATTTCTAACCAGCTGGTGATTTATTCCTTACACAAACCTCACTAACCCGCTAAAGTGAGATATTGATCACCGAGTCAACTTTCCAGGTATCTCGAGTTTGGCAGGAACCACATGTACCCGGGGGCCGACCGACTGCACTTTGGTCTTATCATCTCGCCCCCGTGTCCTACCACACCTGCTCCGGCACAGTGCGCTGCGGGCAATCTACTCGGCCCGAAAAATCTCCCAGCTTCGCGGTCGGAAGGTACTTTATCCGGCCAGCTAAATGTAAGGCATGCGTTCAACATGACTCGAGGCCCAACAACGGTCGGTCCTTAATCGACACAGACGGAAACACTACAGTTCAAAACTCTGCAAGTCTCCGTCCGGTCTCAACTTCATTTAACACTTAGTTATACCATGACTTCATAGTCATCCAAGCAGATCCAGATAACCACCTATAGCTCGCAGGTGACAGAAAATCACCCGACTTCTACCGGTCTAAGCCAGCTAAGCATTGACTCGACTGCGGATACCAGGGTAACAAGGATATAGTATAATAAAGGTAAACAAGGTATAATGCAGCAGCGGTTGCAAACAACTCTGAACGTAATGCATCAATTAAAGTAAAGCATTTAATTAAATCATTGCAAACCGGGAGAAAAATGTTCGGGCTTGCCTCTCTCAAGGAGCTCGGACGGTGATCGTGGCACTCGGAAGTTCCTCAACGTCCTCCTCGTCAAACACGGCACTTCTGCGGGCGCAAGACTCGAGCTCGCTCCTCGGGCTCCTCGGGTATGATATTTGGGTTCTCGCTTTTGCGATCTGTATGATGCAATAATGCGTAAGTGCGTATGCAATCGATGCATCGGATGAAATGAAGACAAGGGATATGCTTAAATGCAAGGTAGTCAACATCATCCAAGAAAATATACTACAAGCACATGTCATCTACTGCATTCTCTTCTACTACTAATATGTTAAGTCAACACATCTTATTAAATGCTTCAAAGATATACCAAAGCTAACATTATTAACTAACTTGCATTAAAGAGGATTATTTTATTTCATTTTAAACTAGGGCTACAACAGCAACCTATATTTCTGGTGCTTATAAAAATCTAAGAAAATTACAGTAGCATAGTACTACTCTAAGTAGACTACCATAAAATTTTCATGGCGTTTGGATAAGTAAATAGTCTACACAAAAATGACAAGCTACGGCATGATTATGAACATGAAAATACTTTGTACTGTGAAAAGTGTCAAACAACAGAATTAGCATTTTTCCTATGTTCTTCATAGCATACAATGACTGTACAAAATTTATCACATGCATGTTTTATACAAAGTTTGCTCTCTAGCTAAAATAACAAAAATCAACCATTAAAGGTACTTGAACTACACCTCAAAATTTTCCCACAGCTCATGCATGAAACATATTTTTTCTAGGAAGTACATTACATAAGAAAATTAACAAACTTAGAATCATATTTTTCTGAAGCCTATAGATTTTTCTACACATTTTTCAAGTTATCAGCAATATACATGATTAAATAAAGTTCTACAGAAAAATATCTCAAAAATGACATGCAATAATTTTCCCAAGTAGATCTGGTGATAAGGAACCTAGCAAAATTTGTTTCAACAAATTTGGAGCCAAAATGAGTACACAAACATTTTCCAAAGTTTTTAACAAAAATCTGAAAAAGCATCTTTTAAATCCTTTTAAAAGTCACCGACAAAAATACTGGGTGCACTGCCGGTCTGTGCACCCAGATCCGATCCAGGCGCTGACGAAGCGGGCCTCCACGGTCAACGGGCCCCCCGCCATCAGTCGAGACAGAGAGGCAGGCCGACGGCCAGCTCTCACCGACGGCGAAGCTAGCCGTGGTGTGTGGACCTGATAGCTCACCCATGATGAGGCAAACACGGTGCACCAAGAGAAGGCACAGGAGGAGCTCGGGGATGTGGCTCGACGGTGTGCATGGCGCGAGCGGGCTGGCATTGCCCCGACGGCCGCCACCATCTCTACGGGAAGGGCGCGCGAAGGTGGTGCGGAGTTTCACCGAGCTCGTCTGCGGTGGTCGTCTCGCGAGAAGAAGGTAGCTAGAAGAAGGACGGAGGGCGAGGTCCATGGAGCGGAGCGCTCCGGTGAGAGCTCGGCCACAACTCTGGCGAGAGATTCCTGAGGAGAGAGGAGCTTCTCACGGCTTATCGAGGCGAGCACGAGGTGCTTGTGATGATGAGTCGAGATCTTGAGGCGAGATGGAGGGTTCAATGGCGAGCTAGGACGGCCAGCGAAGCGAAGCTCCGGCAGAGTGGCTGGTGCTGTGGCTATGGTGCGGGCGGATGTGTGAGGGAGAGGAACAAGGAGAGGAGAAGTGAGGAGCGCTAGAATGCGGTGGGCGTGCGAGATTCAAGTCATGGCCAAGAAGGCGTGAGCTGCCATGGCGCATGGACGCGGTGCAGCCACTGCCGACGACAGGGGCGCCACTGGCTGTGGGCAAGCCTCGACTTGGTCGGGGCGTGTGGCGGCTGCTTGTGGTGGAGCGCAAGGAGAAGGAGGCAACACTGGTGCAAGGCGAGGCGAGGTGAGGGTACATGGGGCCATTGGCCGACTTGGCGGTGGGCGAAGTGAGGCGGCTGCCCATGAAGGAGGAAAAAGCCTTTTTCATTTGTATTTTCAAGGAATTTTTAAATGCCATCTTTCAAATATTATTTTGAGCAAGAAAATGACATCTTTTGAAAATGTACCAAAAATGAAAATTGCTTAGAATTTAATTTTCTACAACTTTGCTTTTATGACCACAGCCAAATTCTTTCTAGATTTTGAATTGTAAGGTCAAAGTCCACGTTTAACTCAAAACCCTAATTTTTGGGAATTTATTTTTGAAACCAAATTTTGAATTAATTTGAATACAAACTTTGCTTCAAAAATTGAACTAAACATTGCTAGATGATTTACAATAGTAGCCAAACATGTTTCACTAACCTAGCAAGCAAAATCAGATGAACAACTCTTAAACAGGTGTATGCAACATTCAGGTTTCACACATGTTTCAAATGTTTCGAAGCAGTGTTTCAATTGTTATTTACATGATTAGGCATGTATGATTAGGATGCTTGATGATGCATGATATGTATGATTTGCAGTGACTAAATGCAGGCATAACACCGGGGTGTTACAAAAGGGGAGCCATCTTTTGTGTTCCTAGGGCATTTGAACATAAGATTTGGAGACAAATAATGTCTATATTCTAATTTGTAAAATATTTCAGTTTTGTTCTAGTCTAGTTTTTTTTGTTTTGTGAAAGTTATGCAAGTTGAACGTTGAGCAAAACTTAGACATTTTTAGTTTAGAGCGGCACATCATGTCCTCCCTCTAGTCCAGATTATAAGATGTTTTATTTTTTTAGAAATATTATTTTTACTATATATCTAGACATAGTATTTAAGTGCATAGCAAAAGCTATGTATCTAGAATAACTAAAACGTGTCATAATTTGAAATGAAGAAAGTACATGCAAATCAATTTGAGAATGCACAAATAGGGTATTTCCTATGGAATTATGGAAGTCAAAATTGCTTCTATATACTACCTTTGGTCAAAAATACCTATAACCTTTGACTCTACGTACTACCTTTTATAAAAAGCCACTTATAACCTTTGACTTTGCAATCCTTAGAATGTATGAGATTCGGTAAGTATTTTTTTAATATAAATCGATGCATATATTGCAAAATAAATCTATATCTAATTCACTTTTATGGGAAGTTGAATTCGAGACCTGAATATTCTACTAAGGGCATCTCTAATGATTGTTGCCAAGATGGTGCTAGGAGGGGAGAAACGAGAATAACAAGCATTGGAGGCCTAGTGCTAGGGTGGTGCGCGTTAGCACCGGTGGATTATTTGGGCACCCTTGCCAACTAGAGAAAAGCTATATCTTCTAAAAAAAACTAGAGAAAAGCTATAGTGTGTCAGAAAATAGTTGTACCCAGTCCGTGCGAAGGAGAAGCCGAAGTGAGGAAAGTGTTGGTCGCACACTGTTTTTATTTGTCATGAGCCCAACTTAGCAAATGCTAGATGTTTCATATGTTGAAGTATTTTTGGCTAGCAAAACCGACGACGTGTCTAGCTTCGCCCCTTGCATAATGAATATCCGTTAAAGTTGTCCTAGAACTTGTAACAACTGGATTATATTATTGTTTTTGTATTTTAATATTTGACCAATTTTTATCGTAATTACACATTTTTATGATTGGAGAGAGCATACCTTAGAGAGTCTCATGGTATCGATGTCTTTGAGTGGATTTTCCTTACACTCATAAGTCCGATTGTAACGCTGACTCTCACTCTCACGGAGTCACACTCACGGTTTTTGACTTGGAATTTAGATGTCTCCTTCTAGAAGCAAAGCGTAAATTCCTATCTACTCCGTATAAATAATATAAAATACTTAAAAAGCAAGAAAACTGGTATATATAAATAATACACTACTTTTTTTTGAAAGGAATAATATAAACTACTTAAAAAGCAAGAAAACTGATACGGAGAAATCAAATCAAACCAAACCAAACGAAACCAAAACAAACCCCACCCGTGACGAGGAGACTTCCGTCCCCACTCCCCCACCGAACTCCCCCTTCGCCCAGACGCCCACTCGCACCACCACGCGCTGCCGCATCACCCGTCATGGAGGTCGCCGCCGCCCACGGGGCCGGCAGCGGAGGAGGAGGTGGTGGCAGCGGCGGCGGTGGCGGACCGGCCCCGTTCCTGCTGAAGACGTACGAGATGGTGGACGACCCGTCGAGCGACGCGGTGGTGTCGTGGAGCGACGCCTCCGACGGGAGCTTCGTCGTCTGGAACGCGCCCGAGTTCGCGGCGCGGATGCTACCCACCTACTTCAAGCACAACAACTTCTCCAGCTTCATCCGCCAGCTCAACACATACGTGCGTAAAACAACTGCCCCCACCTCCCTGCTCTGCCCTATCCTGCTCTTGTATATGATGCGTAAAACAACTGCCCCCACCTCCTTTGGTTGGAGTGGTGGGGGATTTGGGCGTTAAGGTTGCGCGGGTGCAAAGGATCGCCCTCCTTTGGGGAATTTTGCCTCGTGATTCACTGATTTGGGCTTAGAGGGGCCTTAATTTCAGTGTCAACGGTTCTAGGTGCCGAAATGTTTGTGCCCTTTTGCCGAATTGTTAGTATATGTGGGTTTCTTGTTTCTGGTAGATTGATTGGTTGGAAACTTAGAATTGTGCCAAAAATAAATGCTGGGAAACCGAAAACTCAACATGTTCTCCAAAGCCCAAACACATTGTATGGGTTTGTGTGGACGTGTGCTGCTGTTCTAATATAGCTCGAGGCTAAGAATTGGAGCCAACCGCATTCAGGAAGCAGAACTGGGACTGAGTTCCACTTGTCATGGTTCCATTGGCAAGGTACTAATGGTTGAATTTTTCTTAGGCTAACAATTTGAATAGTTCGTAGTTTCTGGTGGTGCTAGTGTAAAAGAGCTCTTTTGAGTTGTAAACACTACTTATTATGATCAGTGGATGTGAAGTTTGGTGTTCACAATGCAGTAAATAGGGTTGATTTGTAGGCCTCAGTATCATCCTTCAAGGCTACAACAGAGCATTTTTTTTTCTCCAAAAATTAGCCCAAATATGCTAGGGTAGTGAGAATTTTGATAACATTATGTATATCTAAATCAATCTAATGTTCAAGTGATTGGTAAGGTCTAGGTCAACTTAAGCTTAATGCATTTTAATGTATTGAAAAAATTGCATTATGTCATGTTTTCCATAATTACTAATTCACTTTTATGTTCAGAACATTGAAAATTTCTTAAGGAAGCTCTCGTTGACAATGGGTATCAACTTGATTTGACAGTCATATTTGAAGATAATCCTTTTGTAGTATCAGAAAAGTGGAGGGCGGGACTTAGTTCTGGTGTTGATTAGTGTGCTCACTATTTGGTGCAAATGAGGGAGTTCTTATGGCATGAATAATCTGAGATATTAAAATCATGAAAAATCATAGTTTGTGAATGCATCTATATTAGTTAAATGTTTAAGATCTTCTGCCTCTATAGTGTCATGGATTGGATCAGGATTGATCTTGATGATCCAAAATCCATGGTTCTGTTGATTATTTGTCAACCATGTTCCTTTATTGGGTCCACCTTTCTAATTTCATTTATAATCAATATAAATTGTAGTTCAGTTCAGTAGCAGGGTCTGCATTTGAATTCTGTGCTGTGGCCTCTATTTGGTTATTAATTCTACTGTTGGTTTTGTATTGTAGTTCACACCTCTATGTTGTATCTAAGCACAAGTCATTTCTTTTGGATCCTATGGATTTCTCTGAGAATGTGAAGGGTCAGATATGTTCTTAGCGCATAGAAAAAATGGCAATATGGACTCGGGATTCTGGTTTCAGGATTTCTGTTTTCTAGATCTTCACCAGGACCTGGGAAACTGCTGATAAGTGTTAACTATTACAGGTCCAATCTTGGTAAAATTCGGGTCAGTGTTTTCTTTTGTTATGTCAATATTTTCAAAGCGAAAATCTATGGAAAATGGATGACAAAAAGATAGAAAGAAATCACTGTACTCCCACTGCTATGTTCTACTCTAGTCCACCTGGGGTTTCCTGCAGTCAATTCCGGTATTAGGACCCTGTTTGAACTTCCATTACCTTGTCTGTTGAACCGGTTCTACAAGTTTGAAGCGAATCACTCGTGTTAACTGTAGAGGATAGTGTAGATATTAGTCTTTGTTTTCTTCTAGTGAGGTAATAAGCATATCTAAACTTTTCATTCTATTAAGGTCCACATATAACACTTTTTTCCTAATACTTTTTTCTGCGCTTGTTGCAGTCCTTAAAGAAACTTGGATTACTTTGATATTATATGCTATAGCGTGATGCTTGCTTGCTTTTGTGTATCCTTGTTGACTTGTAACAGTAGAACTGTTTAGGAAGGAACTGTACTTTTGACATTTAATTAATCCTGAAGAAGGGATACATGAAAACCCGCTAAGAAAATGTCAATGTTGCAGGGTTTTCGTAAAATAGACCCAGAGCGCTGGGAATTTGCTAATGAGTACTTTGTCAAGGGACAGAAGCACCTGCTGAAGAATATCCACAGGCGAAAACCCATCCACAGCCACAGCCATCAACCAGGTGCCCTGCCTGACAATGAGCGTGCTTTATTTGAGGATGAGATTGACCGGCTTTCACGGGAGAAAGCTGCCCTCCAGGCTGACCTCTGGAAATTCAATCAGCAGCAGTCAGGGGCCGTGAGCCAGATTGAAGATCTTGAGCGGCGAGTGCTTGACATGGAGCAACGACAGACGAAGATGCTTAGCTTCTTGCAGCAGGCTCGGAAGAACCCTCAGTTTGTCAGCAAGCTCGTTAAGATGGCAGAGGCATCCCCAATCTTCGCGGATGCATTTCACAAGAAGCGAAGGCTACCTGGGCTTGAATACATCACCGAGGCCACCGAAACTGCCACTAGCTTTTTTGATGACTATAGCAGCACTTCCAGGCAAGAAATGGGCAACCTTCTGAATCAGCACTTCTCTGACAAGCTGAAGCTTGGACTCTGTCCTGCAATGACGGAAAGCAACCTCATCACCCTGAGCACCCAAAGCTCACATGAAGATAACGGAAGCCCTCACGGAAAGCATCCAGACTACGAGAGAACAGGCATGGAGTGCCTTCCACTGGTGCCGCAGATGATGGAGCTCTCTGACACTGGGACATCCATCTGTCCCTCAAAGAGTGTGAGCTTCACAACAGCTGCAAATGACGATGGGTTCTTGCCATGCCACCTCAACCTCAGTCTTGCATCATGCTCAATGGATGTGGACAGAAGCCAAATCCCCGTTGCAAACGGGAACACTGTGGATGAGAAGGACGGCCCAGCGGAGGTGACCACACCCACCTTGGAGAAGGACGGCGGCATTCCTGACAGATGCCATGATGATACCCAGAACGAGGCTTCAGGTGATGCTGGGGCCGCAGCAGATGCAACGGGTAGGCAGCATCGGGGCAGCCAAGCTCCCCCTGAAGAACATGCAGCTCCCCAGGTGGTGGTGAACGACAAGTTCTGGGAGCAGTTCCTTACCGAGAGGCCGGGCTGCTCTGAAGCCGAGGAAGCAAGTTCCACCCTGAGGAGGGATCCAGACCACACGCAGGCGTACGAGGGCACTACAAGTGACAGGAGAGATATGGGGCAGCTGAAACTCTGACCTTCAGGTTTTTTAGCGTGACCTCTTCCCAAAGGCAACACAGTAGTACAGCGTAAGTGTTGGAAATTGGAATGGCACGATGGTCTGTCTGTCTATGATTGTAACTAAACAGCATCACAAGAATGTCCTGTACATATTATCCCAGGGTACATACCGGAGACTGAGAGCAATGCGATTTTGTGCTGTTCTGTTGTGGCCCTGTTCGTTTCACTGAAATTTGGCTTTTTATGCTGATACTTATGCTGATTTGTTGTGAGACTACTAAAGTAGTGCTGCAGAACAGTTCCGCGTTGACAGAATTCGATGTAATAACCAAGGAACTCCTAAAATTCTAGGAAGAGGCGTGTGTATCTTAACGTGTATCTTAACGGTTAGCTTCTTGGAAAGAAATCTCCAAGTAAAAGTAACCATCAAACTAGTGTCGCTGGTCCTGTTTGATTCGGCAATCGGGGAGACAGACGGCGGGGCGGTCTTTCTTTCTTTCCCAACAAGTAGCCAGAGCAGAGAGATTCCCTCACCCAGCAACCGTCCAAATCCATGGCTCGTCACGGCCGTCGGACACCAAGGCCTGAAGGAAAGGCGCGGAGGCTTTATGTCTTTACATTTCCAAAAACGTATTCTTATTCGGTCGGTGTATATGTTCCCATGACATGTGGGCCCCAGGCCAAGACTGGGTATAAGCGTGAGTTGTAAGCGGAACTATTCCAATTATGATAATACCAAATCGAGAAAGGGGAAAGCTTCCCTCTGCTCGTCCCTAACCTCTCCTCACGTCAGCGGCGATTGCTGGCCGCAACAGGACGTGACAGTTGGTATCAGAGATTTCGGTCCTTGGCATCGCTTCCTTGTTCCTCGATTTCCTCCCGCCTTGACCCGAGATCGTAATCCCTGACGGCTGGTCGCTCTCTGTTCATCGCCGTTACTGTGGTGTTTGTGAGGTCCTGTAGGTCCGTGCCGAGGTCGGTTTGGTCGGCGGTCAGGACACGGGAGCATGAGCACGGCGGTGGAGAACACCTCACTAGATCCGCAGCCACAAGCTTCAACGGCAGCGTCCACATCCACTTCGTCGCCAGTAGCATCTCCTACGTCGGTGAGCTAATCCAAGCCAATCTTGTCTTCCTTTTGCCCGGATTTGTTGGTAGCGAGGGTTTCGGGCAGGTTCCCGTGTAAAATTCCGTAGCTATCTTCAAGCGATTCGTGGTGCGGTGGTGACGGTGGGGAAGTGTCCATCTACTCGGGTTGCGGAGCGTTGTCTCTGTGTAAAATTCCTTGGTAGTGCCTCACTTCCAGGTGTAGTCTTGCCCGGATTCGTTGGTAGCAAGGGTTTCGGGGCAGGTTCGTGTAAATTTCCGTAGCTATCTCAAGCGATTTGTGGTGCGGTGGTGATGGTGGGGAAATGTCCATCTACTCGGGTTGCGAAGCGTTGTCTCCGTGTAAAATTCCTTGGTAGTGCCTCACTTCCAGGTGTAGTCTTGCCGGATTCGTTGGTAGCGAGGGTTTCAGGGCAGGTTCCCGTGTAAAATTCCGTAGATATCTCAAGCGATTCGTGGTGCGGTGGTGACGGCGGGGAAGTGTCCATCTACTTGGGTTGCGGAGCGTTGTCTCCGTGTAAAATTCCTTGGACTACAACGGAATAGTATACAAAGTCAACACCAATGATTAAATAGAATTTATGGCTACACAAACCGTTGAAGATAGTTCTAGACCTAAGCCAAAACGGACTGGCGCAGGTAGTTTATTGAAACCCTTGAATTCGGAATATGGGAAAGTTGCTCCGGGTTGGGGGACTACTCCTTTTATGGGGGTCGCAATGGCTTTATTCGCGATATTCCTATCTATAATTTTAGAAATTTATAATTCTTCTGTTTTACTGGACGGAATTTTAACGAATTAGGTTTCTATTAACTAAAACTATGACTTCATAGTTTTTCCATCCAAAAAAAGCCTTTCTACTTTAAGCTCCACATTTCTAGACATTCTGGTAGTTCGACCGTGGATTTTTTTGTTTTGGTATCTCTGGAATATGAGTGTGTGACTTGTTAGAATTGATCCTATTGATAATACATAGAAAGGGCCTGTTATCTCTATCAAGATGATTCTAATTCGTCCTCACTTCCAGGTGGAATAACCCCGATTTCCACGAAGAGAAATCCACAGAGTCAAAGTGTAATAAGACCGTTGTAGATCATATTACCCAAATTCCAGTCGAATATCACATCCATACAATGATAACATCAGAGTACAAATAGTGCGGAATTACATAATTTATTACATCGCCACATTGGCGGAATCAAAAGTAGCATTCATTCAGAACAGCTTGAAGATAAGATCGCCAAACTCGAGCGTAGGAACGAACCCCTCAACCGTCAAACTCCTCGGACCTATACTCCTCAGCAGAACCTGTGTGCCAAAATTTATCAGTACGATTTGTACTGGCCACTCCCAACCCTATGAGCATTGCTTTGTGGAAATTGGATGTAAGTTGGATATAATCAAAAGGGAACCTATAAAGCTGGGGTTTCCTATGTATTAGCATATCAAGTTCATAATAATAGTTGGTCAAGTTTTACCACCGTTCTCACGCATTCCACTCCATTCCCATTCCAGAGCCAGGTTTCGATCCTGGGATCGATATACCACCATATCCACACCATCACCATACCACAACCATACCATCGCTCAGTCGACAGGCCAACTCCCTCTCGGCAGTCTCATGGCCCGTAGCCCCTGGCTACATCCGAACACTCACTCCCGGGAGAGAATAGAAGGACTCATCTCACTATCTAGTTTAAGCGAAACCCAGGAAAGGTCCATAGCCGACAAGTCGGCATATGTATCTATCGATCAACCATACACTCTGCAGAGGTTTTACATAACCACAACATCCGCCTTCCTCGCCGACCGTCGCCAATCGGGCTGATTCCGCCGCTTGCTAGCCTAGGATAATGCCACTCTACCATTCAGCCTGGTACACCCCAAGTCCGGGTCTGGGGTGGTCAAATCGTGAGTCATGAGTGGGTCCACAAGGTCTCCATGAAGTCTCTCGGAAGGTGTGGGGAAATCCTCGCACCCTGCACCTCCTTACACCGTCCGCTAACAACCTAGCGATGAGTGGCAATATTCTACCAAGTAGTCCTACCGTCCCGCACCATATAGGGGTGAGTGGTACGTAAGGCTTCCGGTGAATCTGAGTACTAGTAAGTCCTTAGGGATAACCAAGCCGTAATGTCTTCATCGTGGTTTCCATTTACCGTGCCACCACAACACCTCCACCCTAGGCTCCTCCCATCACAGGATCACACCCAAGGCCACCTCATATACCATTTACCCACCACAGGTATCCATTCCAGGGGTGCCCAGGTAGCACCCCACAGCAAGACTTGCCCTGTGCTCGTCAGATACTCCAACTTGGTCGACACAACCCTCACCCTCCACGCACCCAAGTCACACACGCAAAGACTCTCCCCAATCACCGCTTTCCACCACGCATCAATGTAGTGTAAGCATAGTAGAAGTAATAAGCAATAAAATATAATAGCAAGGTGTGTGACTAGCCTAACAGCAGGGTGAGCAGGGGTAAGGTTGCGTCAAGGTAAAGGCCATCAAGAAAGCATACTACCATGCAAGTCCTACCATAGTGTGATATGACAATAAAGTAAGCACTAGCATTTCTACTTTAGCCATGTGTAATAGGTGCTACGAGATTGGGTGGGATGTGGCACCTTCGGTGTAGTCGTCTCCAGTACTCCTCACGGTACTCACGATCCTCGTCGTCCGGTTTTCCTCCGAGAGTCCGCAAACGATCGCATTATAGTCGCGTTAACGACGCCTATAGAATAGCACAAAAAGAAGCAATGAAAATTCAAAAGAGCCAAATGCACTCAAACATGGGTCCATTGCGTAGAGCTCGGTTTTAAATGAATTTTGGTTACGGTTTTCAGTATTTTTCCGAGGTCGTATGAATTAGTTATGAATTTCAAGATTAATTCCATTTCGAAAATGAAAAAGGCTGAATTAATCCGGGTCGACACGTGTCACGCGTGGTTGGTCCACGTGGCTTTGCTGACGTCGAGCATGACGTCCGCATCACGGTCCGAAGTGACGGTGGGGTCTGGCGACGTCAAGATGAGCGTCATCAACGTCATGCTCACCGACAGGTGGGACCAGAGGCTATTGAGTCACCGACATGTGGGTCCGGTCAAAGTCAACGGCGAGTCAACAGTCAATGGTCTTCGGTCAACGGTCGTGGTCAGCGGCGTGTGGGGCTGAGGCTGCTGACGTCAGCAGCTGATGTCAGCGTGACGTCAGCATGACGTCACCTTGGCTGTGCTGGCTTCTGACATGTGGGTCCTACGTGACGTCATCATGATGTCAGCATCTGACTTGTGGGTCTAGGGTGTCCGTGTCACTGACATGTGGGGCCAGGTCAACGGTCAGCGTTGACCAGTCAACGGTCAATACGGGCTGGGTCCTAGCTAGGCCGGTTGTTCTTCGGGTTGGGCGATGCGGGCGGGCCGGCAGACGTGGCGGCATGTGTGGACGCAGACCCACGCCCACGCCCATGGCCTCCACTAGGCCATGGTCCACGACTCATGGTCCATGGTGGACAGATGCGCCGGTCTACGGTGGACCGCGTCTTCTTCCGGTGAACCACATCCACCCCCCCTCTTCTCTGTCTGTGGTTCACGTGCACCAGGTTTACGTGTGGGTGGCCAGCGAGGGGGTGTTCCCCTATTTTTCTCCCGCGGTGATGCTCCTGCCGGCGGCGAGCTGACTGTGAGTCTTCGTGGCGGTGCTGGTGCCCAATTGGGGAGGGGAAAAGGCTACCCCAGGCTACGGCGACTGCGATGGTGGGGTCTAGGTGGCGGCCGGGGCTCACCAAGGCGCTGGCCATGGCGAACGGCGGCTCGGTAGTGCTCGCCGGTGGTGAGGTCGCGCACGCCGGCTCTCTGGTGGCTAGTGCTGGGCAGATGGGGCTTCTACGGTTGTCCCGTGGGTGC